TGTAGGTGCCTCTTGCATTCTCAGTTTCTAGTTATACTGGTACTATGAATTTCGGATTTAGCTAACACAAAGCGCAGAGTAAGGGGTTATCGGCTTTACAGTTTCATAGTAATTACGGGATTCAACTCGAAAGCGGGCGAATTAACACTCCACGAGTTTATGTTTGGTTGGAAAGCTTATTTCCTATCGACCAGCGAAATTGAATTCCTCGTTTTACAGCTTAGATTTACACTTACACTTTAGATTTCAGTTGAATATAAAATAGATTTAGAAGAAGATAAACAGTGAGAAAAAAGTTAAGCTCGGAAACAACGTAAGATGATTTACTTAGAAGGCACGAGTTTATGAAAGTTACGCAACATTTTATAAAAAGTGCTTCCCTTAATACGAGATTGTATATTCTTGTCATACGATGGATATTAAAAATAAACTTAATTTTATGACCCTTTACAAAGATATGCAGGTAGAAAAAATGCATTGAATCAAAAATCTGTGCAATTGAGTACTGTTTAATTACTAGAACAACCAGTTTAATTTTAACTTTATCTTTTCTTCTGCAAATGCTTTTGTTTGAATTTCCTGTTATTCGTATCACTGCGTATTACTGATGAGATCAGATTTATTTAATTAAGTGAAGCAACTTCTTACGATGAATACTAAATGGTGACATTAACGTCCTATGGAATTGAACGCGTGGGTGTTTATACCCCTTACCTCACAACATAGGAACAAGCTCGTGACGCAAATTATACTACTACAAACATAGTTTAATAATAATTTATACCCAATGAACTTATCGTGAGCCAATAATTCAACTAGAATTATAAACCAAATGCGAAATCATCTGTAAAAGAATCCTATTCTTTCGTGAATTATTGTACAATTCAATACGAAGGAGCGATTTCCTGTTCATCTCCGTTTTTCTTTTACCTGTTCGGTAAGAGTCGAGAGAACGTTTCACCGTCTCGAGGAAAGTCATCGCGATAGAACGTTCCCTGCCGAATTCTGTGCAACCGATCTGTATATCACGAGACTCTGATTCTTCCCGACGAAATCGAAGAAACGGAGATGGAAGATCGTTCGATCGCGTTTCCGTTGCTCGACGTTAACGAGAATAGACTGGCGGCCGCGGCGGCTCGGAAATAGCCGGGCCCGGGTCTATGTATACGTAAATTTTGATCGCGCGCGCGCCAGTGTCGTAAGTCGCGGCTCTAAAGCGGGAAAGTGGGTGACTTACAACCACTCAGGGTCAAGAGTAAACGAAGACACGGTACTGGGTTAGACGAATCTCGCCGCACCTGGGGACCGTCTCTTTGTTCCACTGCTACCTAGAACTTTGTCCCATTAACCGGCATCGCGCAACCAATCGAATTCCAAACCTCGACGACGTTCCATCGAATTTTCTCTTTTCTCAATCAATAACGAATGAGAACGCGACCCAAAAATTATCTACGCAAAGTTCAACGACGTTCACAGCGATCCGCGTATTTCAGTGACATAGGAAATGCACAGTTATGATAATCTCAACCGCGACTCTCGGAAACCGCAGATATTTTATAGTTTTTCTATTCCAACACGTATCGTTGACAAAAGTGGTTAAAACGTTCGCATTTTGTATCAGCGCGTGACAGTATGATATCGTCATCCTTATTGTCACTTTTCGTGGTAGATAGGCATAATATGATTAAAGCCGTGGCAATCGGTGTGTGCATACGTTGAAGGTGACCATTTAATATTTGCTTAGCGATGAAGGCTTCTTATTGGTGTTCCAGTGTTGCTTCATTTAAACAGATTAAAACCTATGACGTTCTACGTTGATAATCAGTATTCCTCGCGAGCGACCCATGATTTAATGAATGGATATCAGCAATAAACTGACGCGAACGCTTTAATGACGATAAAAATGTGCACTTCATATCTAAAAGAAATATAGGATCCCCTTAATAAATTATTCTCGCGTCAATCTCCACGTTATGCAATTATTGGAAAATGATTGAGTTAAAAAAACGTACTACGGGTAGTGTTTCTCACCTTAACACCGTTCAGTAGGAACAGCGGGAGAAAACGAATTAAGGATGTATTGGCTATACAGTCAATCCCAAAAGTTCATGCACTTTAGAAACGCATTTTTTAAAAAGAAATCAGACATCGG